TTTCCTTCAACGTTATTTTTTTGATCCTAAGTAATATAATAGTTGTATCTATTATTATTATTTATACATTTTGAACAAATAATAAATAAAAGAAAATATTTATAAAAATAAATAAATTATGTTGATAATTAATAAATAACACATTATATTGTGTCACAGCTCATAATTAGGAACTCGAATAATAAATTATTAAATAATATTTTATTCATCTAATTTTATAATTGAAAAAGGTAGTGAAAATCAAAAGAGTATAAATTGATTTACAAAATGAAAATAATTGTTTAACAATTAAAAACAAACACAGATAGTTTATCGCTTCGAATCGCTCAAAGGTGTGAACTTTTTATGAACAAATTTATTTGGTCTAATAAAATATCATTCAGGTAGGATTTTTAATAGCTTGTTACATACATAAATCAGTTCTGCGGTTTAGGAGATATTGTGGGCGATTAATAAAAACAATACCTTCTTAGTTTCCCATTAAATCTAAAACGTTTTAATGGTATTTTATTTCATAACTAATACGTATATTATGTGGTAGTATCTATTCTTGAAACTAAATAGATTGGACTTTTTTCTTTTACCACTAAAATATAAAAATCTTCGAACGTTTATTTTAAAGAATAAACCCCAGACTTGGTTCAGTTGACTACCCGCGTAACTGTTCAAGTAAAATTCATAAAAAAAATAAAGTTCTGACTTTCAAACAGCAATACCAACTTTTCAAAGTTATTTCTTAGACAATTAACTAATTGGCAGAAGTTTTAATCAAACCCTATATATATATATATTATATAAATATATACAAAAAAAGTATAAACTTTCGAATTCTTTATTCATTTATTTGTTTGTAAGTCACGTTTTAACGTAGGTTTTCTGTAAATTCTTAGAACGCTTATATGAATGGGCAAAATCAAAAGTATAAATCGTCTTCAAATAAAAAGTATGTTTTATCCATATTGTGAGTACCTACTTCTTTTACAACATGTTTTGCTATTGGTTTCCACACTTTTGCTCATATATACAGAAAAAAGTATAATATGATTATTTAAACAAATTATTTTGTATAATCAACAAAACTACACCCTAAAGATAACACAAATTTATCTAAAAATAATAATTGATTTCACCGAAAGTTATTTAAATTAATTTTTGCTAAATATTGCCATATAGCCTATATCTCGTCTATATCTTATCACGAATCTGAACGGTATCAAGAAAAAAACTAAACAACAATTTTAATCATTTGAGAAATGTGTCGTTGCGCTATCGATGTTCTGATGTTTAATAAAATAAAAAGTAATAATTAAATTGCGGTTGAATTATATTAAATTGTATTTTACGGGATTCACATCACTATTATACTAAAAGAAAAAATATTATGTTTTACCAATAAATTGTTCTTTAATTTTACCGTGTGCTCGATTTCTTACATTAGACAATTACTATATTGTTTACCACTCTTTAGTGTAATCCATGTTTCCTTAATAAATTGTGTATGAATAATGTATCTAACAATATAAACATTAAAAAAGCATGAGCTAGTTAGGTATCGTAAAGTAACATAAAATACTTCCTATTATTAAACATGTTTTATTTTTAATAATATTATTACAAATTATCAAAGTCCTAATAAGACGTTTATTACTTAGCGACTAAATAATATAATATAGGTAATATTATCTAATAGATATGTTTTATCTTTATTTTACACGTTTAAAAAAACAATTTGTCTATTTGTTTCGTTGATTAGGTTTTTATTCAGCATACAATTTAATAATTAAAATGTATATGCAGTATTATAAATGTAGCAATTGATAAAAAAGACTCCTTTGCAATAAAGATGAAAACGTACTTATAAAATCATATAATTATCATTAAAATGATTTATTCAACTGAAATTTTTACTCATTCATTAATGTTTATTACCAACGATATTGTTTCTCCAGTCTCTGCTATTATTTTTTTTTATGTTTCCTTTTTCATAACGATTAGTACTACTATTAATTTATTGCCTTGATTTTATTTAAATTTTTATCGTTTCGTCTTACTAATAAAAATACCATCAATCTGAAATTAAACAATACATTTTTTAACGCACAACAGTATAGTACTTCAAGGGTGGTAGTTTTCCAGAGAATTTAATAAAAACAACGATTTTCTTTAATTAAAATTAGACGATGGTCGGCCATAATATCAAATTATCTGTCATATAGTATATCTATTAATTCAATCAATAAGATATTATTGGTTATTACTATTATTTTATCAAATCTGTGACTTTATAACGGTTAGTTATCAACTATACGTTTGGTGTAATAAAACTAATATTTTATTACCTACAGCTGTTGTTTTATTATACTTTCCGAATATTTTATTGCGTACTGCTTAAGTTTTAAAATATTACCGTTCCGGCCAGCTACTTTTGAACATAAATAAGATAATAAAAAGCAATACCTACTCAGCTTCATATCGAAAATTATGGTTTTTTTATTGTAATGATAAATCTCCATTACAAAGTCTATTAGTTCACATGATCACATTGTGAAAAAAATCATAGTATTATTGTGGTTAAGCTTCTCTTATTTTAATAATATAAAAAACCGCGAAATAAAATGTTTGTTATGAAATCAGAACTGACAACCAATATAAGTATGAAAACTAGAATGAAAATATTTTAATTTTTATTACACAAATTATGTTTATTTCGAGTTCAACAAGAAAAACCATTTAAAAACGTCTTTTAATTTTCATTTATTTTACAATGTCTTTCTTTTAAGTTTCTAAATTATGTAATTGTATTTTTCATATTTTTTAACGGATACATTTTTTAGTTTTTTTGTTTAGGAAATAATATAGTTTGTAGGTATTATATTATCGAAAAGTGAATACTGCATTCTTTTTCATATACGTGTAGTTCGAGCAAGAATTAACGGTCGTAGTACTTATACATAAATTGTTAAAACTTTTTGATATCTGGTTTTAAACCTGAAGTTTTAATTAAAAAGTCTACGGGTAAAACAAACGTTTCGATTTTTTTTTTTTTAAAGTAATCTTTAGAAGTGATGATCGATGTGAAGTATACTAAATTAAAAAGTAACGTCGTTCGCAAAAACAATAATATATCATTAAATAAATAGCAGCGATTTATGTCCATTTCACACGTGGAGAAGTTGATATATTGTTACTGTTATATACCAGTCCTTTCACGCGTGATCGGACATCAAGATTGTTGGTTGCACAAAGGTTCCGGAAGACGGAGCTGGAAGGACTCGAGAAAAAGGGTCTACAAAAAAAAAAAAAAAGTGTAAAAAGAAGAGTTATATCGCCTCGCCGACCGGATTCCAATACAACGTGAAATTATTTTCCACCGTTTGAATTGTGCGCACACAATATAATATGTAATATGCTTAAATCAAATACACGAGTATACATTTATTCCGTAGGTACAACCACTCGAAAAATAACAACACACCAACTCGAGACGAGTGTGTCATTTTGGCATTCATCCGAAAACCGATATATAATAAGTAACAGCGCACGAGACGGAAAATGATATTACTAAAAAAATATGATTCATATTCAGTGTTTTATAACAACGAGGATACGTCCGAAAATCGTATTAAACAGGAAAAATTCATGAGCTACAGTTTATGAAAAATGAAATATTCATATTACACATATTTTTATTTATTTTTCGGGTCCAAATAAAATGCCTGGTCCAATTCAGTTTCACCATTTTTTTGCTTCGATGCAAAGCTGAGGCAAAACATTTTTTTAATTTTTGTAATGCATGGACCCAATTTAATTTTTAACCGCTGTGCTGATACACAAAATACAAAATATACAACATATTATGGCGTATAGATCAGATTTCGTTCACCGAAGGTAATTTAAAATAAAACAAATCTCCCACTATCGCATATTATATCCACATATGAGTATAAAATATGTTTCGATATACATCTTCACAACCAACCTAACCTTACCGGAAAACGATAAAAAGTGTATTGTACAGGTGTAGAGGCTCCTAGCCCTCTTTTTTTCTTTCCCATACCAAACCTCTTAACTCAATAACGATATAACGTTACGTTAAATAATAATTAAATGTTCAAAATTTGTTTGTGGTATTCTTTAGGTAAATAGATGATTTGTAGTCAATGGCCAATAACATATAATTATTATTACAAGAGTTTCGGGACCATCTCGATATTACCCACTTTGTCACTACTGCTATGGCCTTGTGTTTTATATTATTTTTCTTTTCAGTTTTGTGGTCCAAATGGTAAACGCAACTTATGTAAATTAACTTTGGGGATGTTGTATAAGTATTTCTAACAAATAATGTAAAAAAGGCGGTTGCCTATATTATGTCATATCCACAGCGCGGTACTTAACTGTTATATAAGCACGGGTTAACATAAAACGGCGTTTGCTCCCCCGTAGAGTTTAGTTTTATTGCATTTTTATTTTGTACTCTAAATGTAAAAAAAGGAGTATCAGTCGTTTTTACATATTAATACACACTCTTGGGATGAATAAAACCATGTGCTAGAATAAAAATAAAAAAATTAAGTGAAGAAAAAATGTTACACGACTATTCGAGAGTTGGCAATTATTTTTTATTGAAAACTATTTTAGCAATATTGGCAATTCCTATGTATAGAAACGATAAGACTTTTTCAGCGCTCTGCATTTAAAGCACTTTATTAACCATAAGTATTTAGGGGATCGTCGTATATCTCCTGATAGATCCTCAGAATGTCCTTAACATGTGCCATGTTAAAAAAGGTGTCTGCAATCTGTCCGTTAATATATTTTAAAATAGAAATTAAAGAATATCTTACAAAACATCTATTCCACGATTTTCAGCGCCACTCCGAAGTTGTTTTTGTGCAACTTTGTACCGTTTTCGTTGCATCCCGAATTATTTCTATACAAAAAATTATGTGAGAATGCTATAATTTATTTTTTGTGTTTTGTCCTGTTGTATATTATAGTGGCTGTTCGGTGACGGTGGCGGATGAACAACATGGAACACGGTAACAGTACCCCTTATTGCGGCGATTCATTGGTCATCGTCAGGGATGCGTACGTGCACTACCACGGTTACGCCAGCCTGTTGGTGTGCGCGTTTGGCTCGGTGGCAAACATACTGAACATAGCCGTGCTGACCAGAAAGGAAATGGTGTCGCCGACCAACGCCATACTTACCGGACTGGCGGTCGCCGATCTCCTGGTCATGGTCGAATACATGCCATTTGCCTATCACATGTATCTCCGGCCGGCCGACTATCCGCGGGCCGACCGCTTCTCCTACAACTGGTCACTGTTCGTTCTGCTGCACTCTGATTTCTCTCAAGCGTTCCACACAATATCAATATGGCTTACTGTCACGCTGGCTGTTTGGAGGTAAAGTTTTGTAAAGTATCGTTAACCGTCTCGTCGTGTGTTTTGATTAAAATAAAATAAATATCTAATTAACATAATATTCGAATTTCCGTAAATCAAGTCTTGTTTTATCTAATTGCTGATAACAAAAACTCACGGAATCTAATACATACAGGGTATTCGGATGTGCTATGTGGCACACCCAACTCCACGAGAGGTGCTAAAAAATAGACTTTTAAAATTGTTTTTCCCTACCTCGAAAATGCAGGGTTTATTCGTTATTACAGTGATAAAACACTTCAGGATAATTTATGAAATTGAAGAAGAAAAATATTGGTATAAGAATCAGAATTAGGATAATGACTAGAATTAACTTTGGAATAGGGATTACGATAAGAAAAAGAACACTGATAAGAATTAAGACACAGATTATATATTTACATATATCTATATTTAGAATTGTTATAAGGACTTATAGTTTGGACAAATATTTTATTATAATCACTATTTAGTAGCAGTCTGTTATAAAATATCAAATTTTAATCAATTATATCTCACTGTAAACATTTTATTTAGCAGTGACGCTAAAATATTACAGAGAACTTTTTCCGTCGCCTTAAAAAACTATACACCTACACTGCAAAATAAAATCGGGTACCTTCATTGCCATTAGTCGTGTTGTCGCCATCAAAAAATCCTCTCTTTACTTAATATACAGCAAAGTTGCCTTGTCGCGAAACTATGTAAAACATTTTAAGAGAGATAAAAATATAAAATATTTAACTCGTTAAAAACGCCAAGGAATAAAGTAAGCAATAAAAATCTACCGAACCCTTCGTTTAGGAAAACTCAAAGTAAATATTATACAGAAACGTTTCACGCCAAAAAAATAATCACATTGTACATTTTTATTGCATCGTTTAGTTTAAAATATAAATGTTAATTGGCTATTCCTGTTCATACAAATTAGCGTAGATGACATTTTCGCCGCAAATAAGCCACATTACATAGTTGGTATGCCTGTCTCAACGAAAACACAGTGGTAATAAATTAACTGTTTGAATACATTAATACTTTAGTCGTGAAACTAATTGTAAAAATCCCGAAGTAATTAAAACAGTTATTATCGATTATGACCATATTTATGATTAATTTTATTTTTATTTAACTAACAAAAACGATTAGCAAACGGTACGCGTCCATTGAATTTATAATCGCCATAATACGCAACGGATTATGATAAATTAAAACATACAAATTACACTTTACAAATAAAATTAGTAAACATTGTAATCATTAAATAATCGTCATAATCGAGTAAACGTTCGATTCAAATAATTTGGTCCATTTACATTTGTTTCGTGCAACAAGTTTTAAATGACATTGAAAAAAAGTCATCGAGTCAATAGTTTAAAAATTCAGCTGATATACTTTTAAAATTAATATTCTGGTGATTTAATCGTTTGACGATAATATAGCCAACAATATAACATATTCGAACAACAGTTCTAAGTTTTTTGGCTTTATTAGCTACTAAGCAGTTTTGGAAATATAAAATACAAGCTAGATATTGTTGTGGGTTACTTCATAATTTGTATTTACCCGTGGAAAATAATTCTGCCGATTAAATCTATCACTCTACTAAAACATTTGTTTTATGTAGACCTACTGTTTTCACTAAACTACATATGTCATTGTTAAATTCTATGTTATTTATTATAGCTTCACATTGCACGTGAGGTTTTCATCACTTTTCTTATACTCGTACATTAGATATTATTATTTATTTAGGAAATAAAAAAAAAATCAGCACATTGGCGCGGAATCATAATATAGTGTTGACCGATGGACTTTAGAGCTAGACAGTAATAGCATATGTAAAATAATAAAATCTCTTCTGGCGATTTTAATTTAAAACGCTTATTTACATTCATAGTTTTCAGCTGAAAACAAAGTTTACTTCTTTTCATATTTTATACAATTGTTTAATTAGACGATAACTAGAATACGTTGGAATACGTCCAACAAATTTTAAAAATTATTCCAACCAATTCCCACCAAAACCTTTAATTTTCCCGTTCTAGGAGAAAAAGAGAGGGATTTTTCAATTAAGAGGCGGATCAAATATTACATCACACCCGACAAATTATAGTGGGCTCATTTGTAAGTAGGGTTAGTCCAAATGTTTGCTGTCAAAACAGTACAAAAATATGATAAAAATAATAATTAATCACACAAATCCAATATGGATTTACTGTCTAAAAAATTAAACAAGTTTTTATTTGGCAAAAATGTCAGAAAAATATATATATTATTTTATGAATCATCAAGTTAAACAGTTTTACTTGTACTGAATTCTATATTAAATCTATTTCCACTGAAATACACATTATACTAACAATCTGTCTTTTACAACCAATTTTAAATCAAGTGTGGGTGATTAATGAAACTAAATAGTTATATAATGACACGGTCCATTTTTAATAAATTTATAATTTGATTTGTGAGAAATTCCCAAAATAATTTCGACGCTAACCCGGGTACTTAGAAGTAAGTTAACTAAAAGTCGAAATCAATTCATTAGGTGTGTACATATACATCGGGGAAAACGTCGGTTTAATCAATACAACGATAGAACTTTAAGTCATAAATCATAATGAACGTTGAAATATGTTAGTATAAATGAGTTATTGGATTTTAATTTTTAATAATATCTTATAGCTAGTATTGTTTGTTTCATAAGCAGAGTTGTACACTGTTCGAATACAATTGTATCTAACTAACTGTCTAAATAATCTATTATTATTCGAATAATTATCTAATTACATATTTTTCCAATTCCGTTCATACGTTTGATTTCAATTCCTATGTACATCGATTTTAAATTTTGTCAAATATTATTAAATATATAAACAATATTATTAACTTTATCATAATTATTAATTACTAAAATTTGTATAAACCAATCCAACACTAGAAATTATTCATATTTTCCTAAATCCACAGAGAGAGAATAAAAAAAAAAGTTACAAATAACACTGTTGTTTAAATTTGTACAGAAGAAATGCAATATGAGATCAATTTTTTTGAGTATTCGAACAGTCTAACATCATTTCCCATAGTCCTAGATAAAAAATGTAAAAATCATGGACGTATAAAACAATTTTTGACTTATACTTATGGTAAAAATTAGGGTCTGACATGTTTTTGCGTGCAATCAATTTTTTTTAAACATAACTAAACAAACAAAAATATATTAATTCCAAAATTTTCGAATAATTTTAATTTTTTATATTTTCCATTCAATTTTGACTTTTTAAGAAAATTGTTTTAAATCATAGAAACACATATACACGTTTTAAGATTTTTATACGGCTAGAATGACGGTTTTTGTAAAAAAAAAAAAATGATTTAATTTCTTCCAGCGCGCTTTTTTTTCTTAATCACAGCTATTTTGTGTCGTACAAAAAAGTTCTTCTCGGTACGGCCAGTGTGCAATTTAATGCGATTTATCTGCATATAGATCACATAAAATGGTCGAACGCGTGTGTAGGGTTATCGAACAACGGAAATGGACGCATATAATATGTGGGTATAAGTTGAATTTCTTTATCCGTCGCCGGTTTGATGAGCCGGAAAACCAGCCGTTGGTATTTTGTTTTATCCGTAGATTAATAAGTTCAACAACAAGTAGTCAGTTTGGTCCTATGAAGCTCTTTTCTCGGTATCAATACATGAAATCACCGTACCACCGTCGTGCGGTACGTGATTTCCCGTTTGCCATCAACCCGGCCGGAAAATGGTTTATAATATCTCTTAACAAACAAAACAGATAACCGCCGATGTCAACTTTTGACAAGAACGCAGCACCCAAATATAGGTCACGTCCAAAGTTATAGTACTATAGTTTGTAGATAATATATATAAGACAATACATTAAATTATTACTATGTATATTGTATATCATAAAAGAACATGTCGGTCAAAACTCGCAGCCGAACGCCAAACAACATGGATTACTTTATTTATACATTTGCCCCCCCCCCTCCGCTCCTTAAATAGTTATCATCGCATCGAAAACACCAAAACGAAACTACCCGTGTACATTCAAATGAAATTAACATAAAGCCATATAAACGAACGAATAATTAAATATAAAACGGTCTCAACGGACGATTTTGCTCGTAACAGCAAACAATTTATTAGCCGATAAAAAAAAAAAATAATAATAATAAAAAATCGGATACACTAGTGGGAGGAGAGAACTGTCTGAATGGAATACACTCAGGATTACCGCAGTGTCCTCACTGCTCGAGCCCCAAACGTCCTATACAAGCTCGGTTGTTTATTTAAGGGTTACACTTTCTTCTCACATTACCGGCAAATAGAACAATAAATTAAATCCTTTTAATTCCGTTAAAAGTATCACTCCAACTGTGAAATCCAATATAACCCTTGAACGGAGCTATTTTTATCCACAATACCTACGTTATTCAGACAACAATAAGGGTGGCCGAGTATTGATTTAATGGTTTTAGTAATAGAGCAATCCGATAGTCGTTCATAATATATCTTTTTCGTTTCTTAATCTTAAACAAACTCCGAGAAAAACTAATCCTTTTTTAAAAAAAAAATCTACAACCAATAATTTATTGACAGAATCACTTGAAAAGTTAAAAACTCTAAAAACGCAATGCTGAAGATTTGGTTTTAGAGTACAACTTACATTATGGATATAATTTTCCAATTCAATTTAAATGTACTATTAACTCGAATCAAAAGGACTTTTCATTGAAGGAAAAGCAAAATATACAACCTTTTTCCAAATCAAAACAGTCATACCAATTTTACAAAATTGCCACCTCGCTGATCCGAGTTCTTTTTATCTTTATACATTTCAACGTTTTCATTACTGGACGAACATTGCTTAAGAGGTTCGATTATTCAAGTGGGAATACTGGAGCGATTGAGTTCTTGTTCATTTAATTAAGAAAACGGATTTAAGAAGGACGAATAAAAAGTAATGAGTAATGACGAAAGCAATTAATACCATACGAATATTGCGTGGAAATAAATTGTTTCTAACGATGATAGAAATTCAATTAACGCTGAGATTAGCGTTTAATGAACACGAGCTAAGCCTTTCGTTTTCGTTTATAATAAACTGTTCCTTAAAGTATTCTAAAAACAGCAATTTTTTTTAATGCTGGCAAATATTGTTTGTACAAGTAAAATCCATCTTAGTTTCTAGACATTATAGGAATACTATAAATAGTTGTAAATTGTAGGTTTATTGCTTTTAATTGAGATTTCTTTTTAAGTTGAATCAAACAAGTTACAAGAGTCACTTTTATTAAGAATTACAATATATTTATTTTTGATAATAGAGTAAAATTTCTCTTCCAAAATTGTATCCGCTAGTACTATAGGTTCTTTTTCATTCGACACAAGTTGAATAGTCTTTCCTAGAACCAAATCCTTTTAGAGTGTCGCCAAGAGTGTCTCGTTCGACAAAACGACACAGTCTCATTTAGCCCCTTTATGCCGATAGTCTTGTAATCAAAGAGAAAATGTCATTGCTTTCCGAGTAGGCAGATCTAAAGAATAGTTATAAGCGACCATTTTCATTTGGTGGCGTTGCTTTTGAGTTCCGATTCCATAGACGACCGCTCTTTAAAATTCGTATTAAAAAACAAAATACCACTCTGGGAATACATTAATGATAATAACATAGTTTATTGCGTTTATAGAGAAAGAAACATTTACAATAAATAATTTAAATGAAATACAATATAAATGATTGTCTCCAAAAGCTTAAACTTGTGGAAGAGACAACAGTTCATATCTAGCGACATTCATAAACTTATATATTAATAAACTTTCATATTTATTTAATGAAATACAATATATCTGATTAATAATAATTTACTCAAATAAATAATATAATAATAATGTGAGCCTACCGGTGAGATTTTTAATCACATAGATATTTTATCTTAAAATTAACATTAACTATAGAGGTTTTTCTTGCTCTCTCTATTTTTAATTTTTTCGTTATCAAGCGTATCGATTAACACGCCATTGACCGGGTAAATTCAAAGGCGTATTCATTGGCAGAGATCATGGGGAGCTTGGGATACTACGTAATAACCTTAAAACTTAAAATACCTACTTTTATTTTTCAGTGTGAGATTTGTTGAAATAAAAATAATTTTAGCACTAATTTTTAATTTTATGGTTTTTAGAATCCCAAGATCCTCCCTGATCTCGGTCAATGGACGTTTTTAAGACGGACATGTCAAAAATAAATACAATAAAAAAAGCTGTTACGGACGTCCGGTTGTAACAGAAAGTAAACAACATTGACGTGACTTTCCATATTACCGTTTATCGTCTGGCCCACAGCCCCATAACTACAAACCCCGAGTGTTACACGAGCTATTTCCTCGGATCCCATTAGACTACCAATACTACTTCCACTGCTGCCACTCGTTTTCTTTTAACCCAAAGATTATCCTTCGGTCGACTCGTTCCGACCCATTTAACATAATACCTACTGCGCACGGACTTGGCCTCGGGCTGTTGTTTTCGTTGCTACTACTGCTGCTACCCGTCTTAAATGACCGAAAAAGTAATGCACGAACCCTCGCCAACAATGGTGGTTAAATTTTAAACAATAATTTAAAAAAAAAAACGGTGTCCAACCGCAGTGTTCGGCGATCGAGGGGAAACGTGTATAAAATTTGAATTTACAAGTTTTCCAAACCGTTTGTCCTTGTTGCACAACACCACTTAAAAAAAAAATTAGTTATGTAATAAAAATAAGTAAAAAGTTATTACAATAGTCTATCAACAATTATATCTTATGACTAAATATATTCAGAAAACAATTTTTTTAAATTTAATATTACATTCAATTTATGCACGTTTCAAAAAAATAATAAGCGAGAGAGAGAGAGAAAGAAAAAACGTTTAAAAAGCTTAAGATAACCAAGATAAATTGTTCAGAACTGTACATAACTAGGTTACAGATCAGTATTATTTTTAAAACGCTGCACGCCAGTGATAACAGACAATATGTTATTATCAATTTACCGTAATTTTTAAAACTGTTGGTTAAACCCCTTGAGATAGCTGGAAAATAAACCATATCCGATCTTATATTTAAATTACCCACATAAAATATAGAATGATTATACAAATATGGTGAGAAGCTAGCTAGTGAAAACTGTAATAACGTCACTGACATATCTACTACCTCTAGTCATTACGGCAGAGTTCTAAAAATTACTTGTTCAATTAATAGCAAGACCTTAACGGAATAGTAAGAAAACAGTTCTATAGTTAAGCATTTTGTTTCCAGGTACGTGGCTGTGGTCCATCCCCAACTCAACAGAGTGTGGTGTCGGATGGAAACAACGTTTTTGGCGATCGCTTTGGGTTACTTGCTTTGTCCCGTCATCTGCATACCCAGTTATCTGACGTTCAACCTCATCTCTCGAGTGGAGCTTTTGGACGCCACCGGCAACAGGCCAACAGTAAACGGCACCAATGGAATAGCGGGTCCTTTGCAAAATGTCACCCTATACTTCGTGAACGTCAGCGACCTGGCCATCTCCACTTGCCTGGCCGACATTAACTTTTGGGTGTACAGCGTGGTCATCAAGATCATACCGTGCGTGGCGCTGACCGTGCTGAGTTTGCGGTTGATCTGCGCGTTGCTGGAGGCCAAACAGCGTAGAGCCAAGCTGACGGCCAGCAGTCGCAAGTCGGTCGACAAGGAACGGCAGACGGACCGCACTACCCGCATGCTGTTGGCCGTGCTCCTGTTGTTCCTGATCACCGAATTCCCGCAGGGCATCCTGGGACTGCTCACGTTGCTCCTGGGCAAACGGTTCTTCCAGGACTGCTACCAGAACATGGGCGAGGTCATGGACATGCTGGCGCTGGTCAACTCGGCCATTAACTTCATACTGTACTGCGTCATGAGCCGACAGTTCCGCAACACGTTCAGCCTGCTCTTCTTGCCCGCCTGGATACCCAAAGCCGACGGTCAAGGTACATCGCACGGCAACCCGACCACCACGCAAGTCACGCAAGTGTAAGCAAAAAAAAAAAAAAAAAAAAAAAATTGATCCGTCGCCACTGTAACGGCATTTCCCTTTAAACGAATACACAGGGTGGTTTATTCTTTGTCTCGGTAAATAACGATTCGAAAACGAAAATACACTATGTGCGATCAAAACGCGAGCTCGTGTTGCTGAACGGTCTGTTACGGTTTTAGAAGACGCCAACAAACTGTGACTTTCCGCGGTGTCTGTAACACGGATTCCAACTAGCCTGTACGTTTTCAACATTATTGTTTTGTATAGTATTATTTTAATCGAGCATTCCTATTTTATTCAAAGTTACAACAACAGCGAAGCGCCGACGGAAATGTTAGCGCAACAACAAAACGCTTACAATAAATGTTATTTTCTAGTTGATACGTTGGAATAAAAAACTATAACGTCATATATTTTGTAACATTGAATTTTTAAAGTTGTTTTTTTTAGCACGTAAGTTCATACAATATACATATATATTCGTAAGAAAATATTTGTGACCGTCCGTGGGAAAAGGGACCTTATATTTTCCATTTTTCAAAATCGGGTTTTTTGCATTTTGTCATAGTCGATTAGATGCTGATTACACTGGTGTCTCGATCACAACGACAACTCGATCCGTTCAAAAGTTATGAAGTTAAAAATCCTAATAAATTAGTTAGTTTGTAAAAAGTTAGTTTTGGCTATCCTGAACAATTTGTTCCGGGAAGATAAGGTACCTTTTTTCCATGGACGGTCACATTTCTAGATTAAACGCTTGAAATATAATTAGTTAACGCTCTACTCTAAAAAGAGTATAGTGAGTCGATAAGTAATTGTTACAATGATATGTTAGCGCTAAAACGGCGTACGTTTACTCGTAGTAATTGTGATCGTTTATTAAGGAAACGATTTTCCGTTATTATAACAGTTTTCAACGGACGTCTTTTTATGATCATTATTATTTATGATTAAATTAACCCAACCTACCCTAGTATAGTATTACATTTTTTACAAAACACGCAAATAACCATTAAATACCGATATTAAGTTCCTTGAAATTGCGATTTAACAAAAATTCGTTTGTATGGGTAGCGTGCGCTTTATAATGTAAGCAGTTTAATGTATAATTGAAATATTTAATACAGACGGCTTGGGATAGGTATTGGATAACATTAATATATACTCAAACATTTATTTTTGAAAAATCAGTCGATATTAAAACAAGAATAACTTATTGAATACAATACAAACCGTTTTAAATGATTTTTGTTATTAATAATTGAACCTTTTACGCCGTTCCAAACAATTCATAATATTTATATTTATTTTGTAATTTAACGTTCTTGAGCGAATAGTGTAAAAGTTATCAAAATGAATGGTATTAAATTGTGCCATTAGTGATGGGAAGAGGCTAAATTTCAGTAGTATCCGAATATCTTGGTATTCAAATCCGGATTTTTTATAAATTTATTAACTTTGATTTTAATCCGAAAATCCAAATATCCGTATATCCCCATCAGTAGTAATCCAAACACTAATTGTACGTTTTACCTTACTATAATTATTGTGTTAAGACGAATACATTATTTGTTATTTCAATATAAATATATTAGGCGATTAACTTTGTTACCGCTGTTGTGTATTATACCAAAACTCTCATTATAGTGTGTTATATTATTATGAAGTTATGTAGTTCAGTTACAAATTTTAATCTTAATCGTTGCAAGTGTTATAAATGCTGATTACGCTCTGATTTTACCTTTGTATAACGTTATTACATTGTGTTTTTTTTTTTTACACAAGAGCTTAAAATATGTATAATACATAATATATAGCTCAAATTAATATTAAATATTTCACGGTTCGTTTCAGTCGTGTCATGTTTTATTATTAAGAGACATAATATTATTTCTAAATATATAATGAACAAGATATTATTTTATGAATTGTATGTATAAGCTGAAAACAAAGTTTTTGTGTCTGAATAAAGTGTTATGATAACCGTCTATTGCCGTGTAAGTTTTTATAATTTCCCGCTAAAAGGACAACAATAACAATGACACAACCCATCTTTATGGGCAAACTTATTAGTTATTACCTTCACGCAACAGGGCCGCATTTTAAACGGTATCAACTTAACCGCAAACTTAACGCTATAATTCAAAATACGCCTTCTCGCGCATACTCTACATATAATTTGGTTTTACCCAACTTAAGCGTGGAACAAAGGGTACTGCAAAATATATTTATTCTGCACTTGATGTACACATTGAACAAAATGTATACTATGCAATTAAGCGTTAAAAGTACAAACAAAAGAACGACATTGAACTAAATGAGTTAAATTATAATAGTGACATATTGTTTGGTCTAATAATGATTAAAATATGTATACAAGGTTATTGCGCATATACTCCCTTTTCATCAAATATTCGATGATAAAATCAAATATGTCAGCATAACGGAGAGCCAGTCAAAATCAAGTATATACGGTAAAATATATAGTAATAGTAAAGTATATAGTAAAATTGATGTCCCGTTACGCTGTCTTTTATTTCTGAAGATAACAGTTCGAGACAATATGCAATAACCTGTACATTTCAACCATGGGTCTAATGCAGATTGTATGCTTTTAACTGTTGAAAAACATTAAATGTCACTAAAGACAATTTTAATGGGGATTTTGCGGGTTTTATTGTTTGTGAACAATGATAGATTAAACGTTAAATATTTTTAGCTTAGACAAATCAAACAGTTTTATTTAAAATTCACTTACCAAACACCGATAATTATTGCAAAAGTCCCCTGGTAGCGGTCGACGTCTAGTCTTCCTCATAACACGGACGGCCGTTTGGATGTGTACCCTGTGCCGACAATGTACTTAGAATTTGTTACAACACGTGTTTTTTACAATTACAAAAATCGTCGTTTGCGACAGGCGCCGTCCGCTGGGGAGAATTGTCTAAAACGTATCTTGATTTGAGAAGAGAGTTATACTCCTACGCGAAATCGATTTAAGTCCCAGGCGACGATGCTGTTATCTGACAAGGCCAAACCGCGCGAAGACCCTTAAAAATATGGGACCACCGAACAGAACGATTTCCATTCGAGTGACGGGTTTTTTTTGTGAAATCTTCCAAAGACATCAAAATATATACAACACACTGGGTGTGTTGACGCTGGGTAACGGTGTGTGCACACGTTCCAAATAAGTATGGCGTATAAGTTATAACGTGATGTATGTGACATATCAAATTTATTTATTATTATTATTTTGTTTTATCAAAATGTTGATACTTGTATCGATGGACTTGTATATTGACGCCAAGTTTCGGGCTGATACATTTACGTCGTTTTGCGTCAATTGAATATAAATTAGCTAGTAGTGAAAAAAATTCTAATTTATTTTTAAGTTTTCTTTCTTGAAGTACTATCGCTGGATAGATGTAGTTTTAATGTCACGCAATATATGTGTGTAGTTTAAACAATTAACGATTCCTCGTGGATAAACCATAACAAAAAAAAAAACACATCCAATATTATTAATCAATTAAATAATTGTGTAATTCTGTCACGTTCGAGAGATTACTATCACAGAATTGTGCTGCGGTTTAGACAATACCCGGACGGAGATTACTCGTCCATTAAGTAAAACCCCGAAAGTACCTTTTCGCAAAACCAAAGCAAATATTCGAATATTATAATGTTTGGCACGTGTTGTATTTTGATGTAACCGTTTATGAATAGAATAACAAAAAGTGATAAAATGCGACAGTCGCTATTTTAAAATTTTTAAAATCAAATTATTTCCCTGTGTACTGAATTACTTGCCAACGTTCATAAAGTTTACTTGGTATTAAGCTAAACAGACAACAGTACCAAACAATCCAGCTCCTTAATTACTATTTGGTAATATTATTGTATCTACGAAGGCGTACGATGTATCTAGTTCCAATAATAATAATATTCAACAGTGGAAAGATAACGTGGATATATGAACAAACAAATAGTTTGGTAATTGCTATTTATAAAACATGGCAAAAAAATGAAGGCTGGTATACTCTAGTTTTATGTATTGTGCATTTTTTATCAAGCTGGGATTTTTTTTTAAATGGTAATATATTTTATCCTACTTCCTACACAAAAGTGGCCATGTTGGTATAATATGAGGATATCTCATATCCGGATGCTTAATCCTCAAGTGCCATTGGTATTGCACTAGAATTTGAGTTTCCGAAACGTTTTCGGAAAGCTATTACAGTTGTATACTTTAATACAAATCCCAGCTTTTTCATAAACTTAATTTTAGCAATTTAGAGTCTATTGATTTTAAATTTTTAACCTATTATAGAAAAAATGTAAGAAAATGTTGCATAACATTAATTTGTCTAACTTTAAACAAAGTAAAAAAAAATGCAAATATAAAGACCAACATAATTGTATAACAGAATTGTCTCTCTGCCAGAAATCTCTCTTATTTATTATTATTTTTTTTTTTTTGCATAAATTATTTATTTTATAAAATGTAAGTTTAACATTGTCTTCCTAGCTTTGAACATCGATTCCATCAAATGTGATGCGACTTTTCCTAGCAACCAAACAAGTAAGTCTTAATAATAAAGTTCACTTATACAAACTTACCTTTAAGCTAACAGCCAAACCCTAAAACTTAAATAAAACTCAAACGTTCCAGTCGAAACGCCTCCGTCAATTTACCAAGTCTCCATTCCGTGTTTTAAATAATTCTCTATAATTACCTCTCGATTCCAACATTTCGTCAAAACTTCCTACAAAAATTCCATTCCAACCTACTCATCGACCGTAACCCTCTAATTTCTGACTTATCCGTTCTGGATATTCCAGGTGACCCAAAAAGACGCTTAAAACGAAAATGGTGCTGAGACCTTCCGAAAGATGGTTCCTTCTAACAAGACTCAAACGTATCACTTAGCACTCACACTTATTGTAAAAACATAATTATCTAGAGATTGTGTAAATTATATAATATAATAGATCTATAAAAAGTATAATATAACTTGTAACAATTTGGCCCCACAATAAAAATCACTCGGTTTTATCTCACGAAATAATGTTGCTTAATGCTATTTTTTAGTTTTTCCTCGTTACTTGGAATTTTGAAACCAGATAATCCACGTATAGCTTATTTATTCCAGTTTTGACGTTTTTTTACTCCTTAAAATCCAAGTCAAGCCACAACTATTGTTTTCTCTTAAACCTTTTTATTTGTCTCAAGGATGTGAAAAGTACACTTTATTACTTGTATGCGTCGTGCTTTCAAAGAGCCAACCGAGTTTTTTTTAACCTTACAATAAATAATATACAATATAAATTCGTCGTCATGTCGCTAAGAGGATATTATTTAGGACTATATCCTTTTTATTTGCATACGTCGTGCCGGCTACATAAGTTCACCCGGCCGGCGGACATTTTGTAAATTTATTGCTGACTTTTTCGCGGTTTTTATCGTTTCTACGATTTTTAAACAGTCATTATTATTTATTGCACACAAAGTTCAAAAACAAATTAATTTAACGACCAACGCAACGTCGCTATTTCGAACCTTTAAGCAAGTACCGCGAAAACGTCTAACGCGGTATGATAAATCTTAAAATTACTATCGCGTTTTCTAAAATAACTGTGCAATTAAGGTTCACAGGAAATATAACTCTGTGCTGTACTATAATATCGTATTTCTATTACATGCACGTACATATTATATCATACCCACTATAGATAGAAATCGACAATTTTCGAACATTCGAACGCGTGTCAATTTAAACGTTACTCGCATAATAATTTATATAAAGCGTTTAGGTGAAAAGCTAGTGAGTTTCATTGTGACAAGTTAATTTGTGGGTTTTATTGAGATTTATCACGTGTGCAACATAAAAACGATAAAATACATACATATAACACATTAGCTGTACTGGTAAATTTATAAAAAAAAAAAACAGGCCACACGCAAAAAAAATACCGAACTGTACACCGGCTAAAACCCTTTAATCGTTTTACTTTTAGTTTATCGCATTTAAATAAAAAAATAACGAATGCAGTTTATATAGATGTGAATCCTGAAGTTCGCTAAAAAAAAAAACACGTGGCGTGGTTCCCTTCACCACCATACAACTTAAGGTACGGAATAGAAACCATTTTCGGAGTACTAAATTCAGAAAACTAGAGATGCTACCGAGACAGGACAGCAAAACTGTTCTTTTAAATAATGTTTCAAAAATGCTGTCTAAATGTTTTACAGACAATACGGGTTGGCTACAAACAGTTTAAAACATTTTGTCAATATATTATTTGAAAGATGTAACTATTGAGTTGATTTGACTCTGTGTTGAAAATGTGAAAATTACCATTCTTACTCAAAATTAATTTTTAAATTTGTTTTAATTTTTATGCTGTATAGGTCTGAATCCCTTTCCCACCCAACATTGAGCCAGGGTACAAAATAATTATGACATTATCTTCCACGCGAACACCAATTAAGATATGATTGTTAAACGTCACCTAGCAAGCGTTATTTAAACGTTGAATTCGCGGCAAACGCCATTATTTCGAAGCTATGTTTGTCTATATTATTGAAATAACTCACGTACGCATACACGGAACGTATTCCAAACTCATCGATCCACTCATCCGGAACAATTATCAGGGTGGCGTGTATATGCGGTGGGTCGTTTGAGTTTGGCTCCGAAGCCACGGGTTTACTTTTAAC